AGAGAGAGAAAGAGAGAGAGAGAGAGACAGAGAGAGAGAAAGAGAGACAAAGAGAGCGAGAGAGGGAGAGACGGTGTGAGGGCAGATCCGGAGACGTAACAACAAGTAACAACAAGGAAGGGAGAGTCTGGACTCTTAATTTCAGCTGTGCAGCGGCGATTTTACGGGGAGTGTGAGGGCAGATCTCGAGTGATAACATCAGCTACACTACATGTAGTGGTTGTTGTTCACAGTGCAGCATCTTGATCTACCTTATAACTAATATACTATATACCTAATATATATCTACCAGTCTTATTAGCGATCTGTTTCAATACGTCGATATACCTGTATCACTATCCACCTGTCTCAATACTTTTTTCTATCTGTCTCATTATCCACCTGTCACATTATCAGCTTGTCTTGTTGTCCAGCTGCCTCGCTGCCTCGATGTTATCTACCTGCCTCATTATCTACCTGTCTCATTATCTACCTGCCTCATTATCTACCTGTCTCGTTATCTACCTGCCTCATTATCTACCTGTCTCATTCACTACCTGTCTCATTATCTACCTGTCTCATTATCTACCTGTCTCATTATCTACCTGCCTCGTTATCTACTTGTCTCATTATCTACCTGTCTCATTATCTACCTGTCTCATTATCTACCTGCCTCGTTATCTACCTGTCTCACTATCTACCTGCCTCATTATCTACCTGCCTCATTATCTACCTGCCTCATTATCTACCTGCCTCATTATCTACCTGTCTCATTATCTACCTGTCTCATTATCTACCTGCCTCATTATCTACCTGTCACATTATCTACCTGCCTCGTTATCTACCTGTCTGATTATCTACCTGTCTTATTATCTACCTGCCTCATTATCTACCTGTCTCATTATCTACCTGCCTCATTATCTACCTGTCTCATTATCTACCTGCCTCATTATCTACCTGTCTCATTACCTACCTGTCTCATTATGTACCTGCCTCATTATATACCTGCCTCATTATCTACCTGCCTCATTATCTACCTGTCTCATTATCTACCTGCCTCATTATCTACCTGCCTCATTATCTACCTGCATCGTTACCTTGATGCGATGGACTTCGTCTACGATGACCGCCGTCCAGTCAAACTCGTTCAGTTCGTCCACATTCAGACGAAACGTCTCGAACGTCGTCATGACCACGTCTAGCCTCCGCCGCCGCACCTGCAAACGATTGCAAGAGCGACGATTAAGCTAGATGCAACAAGTCTGGTGGCAGACAGACAGACAGACAGACAGACAGACTAACAGAATATAACCTAAAGACCCCTAACTTCGTTGGCGAGGGGTATAATAAAGCATAGATGGTAAAGCAAGGTATAATAATGTAAGCCAAGGAGGGTAGGGGTAATGTAAGGTAGTGGCAAGCAAGAGTAATGTANCAAGAGTAATGTAAGCCAAGGAGAGTAGGGGTATTGTAACGTAGTGGCAAGCCAGAGTAATGTAAGCCAAGGAGAGTAGGGGTAATGTAAGGTAGTGGCAAGCCAGAGTAATGTAAGCCAAGGAGAGTAGGGGTAATGTAAGGTAGTGACAAGCCAGAGTAATGTAAGCCAAGGAGAGTAGGTGTAATGTAAGGTAGTGGCAAGCAAGAGTAATGTAAGCCAAGGAGAGTAGAGGTAATGTAAGGTAGTAGCAAGCAAGAGTAATGTAAGCCAAGGAGAGTAGGGGTAATGTAAGGTAGTGGCAAGCAAGAGGAATGTAAGTCAAGGAGAGTAGGAGTAATGTAAGGTAGTGGCAAGCAAGAGTAATGTAAGCCAAGTAGAGTAGGGGTAATGTAAGGTAGTGGCAAGCAAGAGGAATGTAAGTCAAGGAGAGCAAGGGTAATATAAGGTAGTGGCAAGCCAGAGTAATGTAACCCAACCCTACTCGTTGTTGGGCTACATCATTGTAGTGATGATTTTGTCTGCTGGTTGCTGAGTTCTCCTGAATGCATCAACATCGAGAGTGCATCGACTCGAGATGCTTGACCCTACGAGTTTCGAGTGAAATGACCACGCCAATCTTGGACGTTGTTGGAAGGTCGGCCAGGCCAGATCCAGTTTGTACGTGTTTTTCACGTGTGCCAGCCAAACTGTCGATTTTGCAACACTTGTTTTATTAAGCATAGGTTTTATCATATATAGTCAGGCAAGCTGGATGCAGTTTGTACGCGTTTTTGACGTGTGCCCGCCAAACTGTCGAATTTGCAATACTTTCTTATATTAATTGGTATTATCATATATATATATATAGTTGGTTATTATTTTAAGTGTTATGTCGCAATAACGATTGGCTATAACTGCATTTCTATCAGCAGGATATTTCAATCAACAGCAAAGACTAGATTCTTTGAACAGTAGCACCACCTGAAAACCAGCGATGTGAGAGAGCCGGCCCAATCCTAGTTTAGCATCCCGGATTAGTTCAGCACATATGTGAACTATATATATACCGGGGTCTCAGACTACGATTGAGCAAGAGAGCCTCTCTTACTCTCTACCTTTTTATTATTATTATTATTAT